GGAGACTTTCTTCCTGAAACCTTCATTTTTCTGCTAAAATCTGAACTGACTATTCTCTAGATGCATTTGTGTGTCATCCTTTGAATTCCTCTAATCATAATTCTGGAAATTCCCTTTGCTTTTCTCCTGCATGAAATAATCTGTTTCTTGGGTCCCCTATATTCCCTTTTCTTGATTTAGTCCCTAATTTTTCTGGAGAGCATCTTTCAGGTCTTTTTCTGAGAAAGGATATAAATAAATACATTTTTGAGACCTTGAATGTACTAACTTCATTGATAAACTAAATGGGTACAGAATTCTAAGTTGAAAATATTTTTTCCTTAGACTGTTGTAGGTCTAGTTTCAAGGTCTTCTATCATCTAATGTTGCTGTATGAAGTCAGGTATCATTCTTATTCCTAATCCTTTGTATGTAACTTATATTTTAAAAACAATTCTAGAAGTTTAAAGCATATTCTCTTCCTGCCCTCCCACCCCCCGCTCTAAAATTACACAATGGCAAGTCTTTTTTTCTTTTTTCTTTTCAATGAGCTAAGTCAATCAATCAATCAATCAATCTGAAAACACCTGGTCTTCAATTTTGGGAAATCTTACATTTCATCTGTTCTGTTTTCTTTTGTCTCTCATCTTAGAATCCTATTACTCTGATGATGGACCTCTTGGACTAGCTTCTAATATTTTAAATATTTCCATCTTATTTTTAGTGTTTTGGGCTTCTTTTTTTAATTTATATTTTTGGTTCTATATCTCTAGAGGAGGAAAATTCAATACAAGGTCTAATAATAGGTCTAATCTCTATCGTTTTTGTCCAGTATTTGCTCAAAACTTACCAGGCATACCAAGAGTCAAGACCAAGAGAAAAACAGGCAATAGAAACAGACCCAAGGAAATACAAATATTGAAATTATGAGCCATGGCCTTTAAAATAACTTTGGTTAATATATTTGAGAAATTAGATAACAAGATAGAAAATTTCAGCTGAGTAATGTAAACTGTAAAAAGAATCTAATAAAATTCTAGAGTCAAAAAACATAAAAACTGAAATTAAGAATGCTGAAGTATGGTCCTGGCTGGTGTGGCTCAGGTAGTTGGTTGGGCATCATCTCCTGTGCCAAGGAGTTGTCAGTTTAATTCCTGGTCAGAGCACATGCCCGGATTTTAGGCTCAAGTCCTGGGAGGGAGTGTGCAAAAGGCAGCTAATGTATGTTTCACTCTCACACTGCTGTTTCTCTCTCTCTCCCTTTCTCTCTCTCTTTAAAAAAAATAAATAATGCTTAAGTATGTATTCATTCAGCTCCTCCATAAATATCCAAAGAAATGCTTGTACAGATCCTCCAAGAGAAACATAACATGATTCTAGCAGCACTATTCAAAATTGCTTAAAATGAATAATTAAATTATGGTATACTCTATAATGGCATACTATACAGTACTGAAAACCAGCAACAACACAAATGAATCTCACAAACACAATGTTTTATGAAAGGATATATCTATCTATATATATCTATATATCTATCTATATATCTATCTCTATCTCTATCTATCTATATAGATCTATCTATCTATATGAAAGAATATGTACTAAATGATTCCATTTATATAAAGTTGAAATTAATCTATGATGTTAGGAGTTTTGATAGCATTACCTCTTGGAAGAAAAAGGAGGGTGATTATTGGGAGGGGACAAATGCAGGGCCTCTAGGATGCTTGTAGTGCTATATTTTTTATCTGAGTGGCAGTTACAAAAATGTATTCACTTTGTGGTAATTCCTCAAGCTGAACACTTGATTTGTAAATGTTTCTATATGCACATAAAAAGTTATGATAAATCTGAATAAAATATTTATTGAAGTAAAGCAAGAAAAAATTATTTTCATTTTATAGATGCAGTATCTTAACTCTGAGGAAAACATATACCTATTTTCCACCTTATCTTTTTCTTTTTCCTATTAATTTTGGTGTCTATCAACCATAATCCTGACCTACTTGTGTTCAGAAACTCACTGGTTCAGCTTCCCCAGAGAATAAATCTCTTGTTGCCTGGTCATATGAAGGTGCAGAGGGGATCTGGCGTCCTATAGCAATCTATGTAGAATTTTAGCCAATCTCCCTTTTTCTAGCCACAACCTTTTACCCTGCCTTTGGCAGTACATAGGATTGCCAATTCTTGAGCTCCTCTGAGGTTCTATATTATGAATTTCATTGAAAAATCTCTCTATAAACCCAAAAGTTTTCTCTGCTCTTCTGTCAGTTGTCAATCCTCAATCTCACAAGATTTATAAATATCTTTTGTCTGTTGTTACCTCCTCTTCATCCTGGTGGGCTTATACTTATTTTATTTTTATATTAATTCTAGTCGGCTCAAGGAAGGGTCAGTTAGATAAAAATATATATTTAATATGACAATTTTTGATTCACTTTTTCCTGACATTTATTTAAAAATATTAATCAGGTCCAACCGGTGTGGCTCAGTGGTTGAGTGTCAACCCAAGTGACAAGAGATCACCGGTTTGATTCCAGGTCAGGACACATGCCCAGGCTGTGGGCCTGATCCCCAGTGGAGGGCATGCAGGAGGCGGCCAATTGATGTTCTCTCTCATTGATGTTTCTACCTCTCTCTCTCTAAAACAAAACAAAACAAAACAAAACAAAAAACAATAAAAACATATTTTAAATAAAATAAAGTAAAATAAAAATATTAATCAGGTTATGATTCACCTCCTATGATCTGATGTAGAATGCACATATATTTCTATAATTTTTTTTTTATCCTCACCCGAGGACACTTTTTCATTTTTTGTTCAGATAGAGTGGGAGGGAGAGCGAGGAAAAGAAAGAGAGAAACATTGATGTGATAGAACCATAACGAGTGGTTGCCACTCACACGACCCCAACCAGGGCCAGGGCAAACCGCAACCAAGGTATGTGCCCTTAGTGGAAACTGAACCCTGGACTCTCTGGTCCGCAGGCCAGTGCTCCAACCACTGAGCCAAACTGGCCAGGGCTATTTCTATAAATCTGAGGTTTCTTATTAGCTGGGTGCTATTTTCTAAAAAATTAAATCTTTCACTTTTTCATAGACTTTAAGTGGTACGTAAGATAAGTGGCCATACTTTCTGGCTTGTGATTTCACTGGGAGCTGCTGTTAATGCACTGTTGTGTTTTATTATCAAGTAAAATTTATAGGGACAGTATCCTGTTCCACGGAGTGAACCACACAAGGATTTCTCAGACACTCATTTAGACGGAACACAAGTCTAAAGTCTACATACAAACTTCTAAGAAATCACCTTTGGCATCTTATGTGCAGGCCTGTTTACTGGACTTCTAGAATAATTGGTTTTGTTAAAAATAATCCCGAATGAAAATCAAAAGGAAATGTCAGTATTCTCTAAAAACTTTCAGTTGTTTAAGACTATTTTAGCAGGAGAGTTTGTGTCGCCATATGAATTCTAGATGGCTCACTTACCTGCAGAGTATATTTATCAATCAGAAAAAGATTAATGTATATGTTTCCAGTGCCTCTAGGAATATTATGAGGACTAATTTAACCATCTTTCTACTTTAACATAATCATTAGAAAATTAATACACTAATATAATTTCTCCAAAATAACTTCAAGAAATGAAAACAGAGTAATAAGGTAGTATAATGGACAAATGTAGAGCATTTTGGATGTCCAATATCTTTTGAATCATCCTAATTTGTTGATTTTGCTACACAAGTGCTCTCTCCCTAGTCAGGAATCAGATGTTAGCTTTGCCAGCCTTTCCTTGTGGCATGTGACCTAGGCTCTACAAATCAGACACAACTATGCCAGACTTTGCTTAGTAGAGAGAAACATAAAGAAGAAGAAATCCACTTTGGTGATAGTGGCAGGGAAGAAGATATCCAACTTTCAGGAGCAGCAGTAATAGATGGTCTGGAGTCTACAGTCCAGGATTATGGTGTGAATTATCAAGTCCTTGCCCACAGGCAATAGCTACTGTTCTTAGAATAGTATTCTGGCAGGGACTGGGTGTATTCTTGGCTGTAGCTTCTAAGCCTGACAGTCTGGATCTTCTTGACATTCTATGAACCAGCTAATTTCCTTGAATACATCCTTTTTTTTTTTTCAACTACCTAGAGAGAATTCTATTGCTTACAACTAAAATCTCTGACTAATTCAGATGGTATTACTATTGAAAAAAGAAATATAATCACAAAAATAAAAAATATATATATCTTTTGACATTCAGCTACAATAAAAATAAACGTGATCCAAGTAAAGAATGATATATGCTACAACATGGATGAACCATGAGAGCTTATGCTATACTCTGGTTTCTCTTCAGATCGCATAAACCTTTCGCCTTTTACTAAAGATTTCCGTGGAGAGGAACAATTCTGAGTTTTTATTCCCAGAGATGTGGAAGTGGGGTACAGACTGATAATCTCCAGAAGAGGGGGTGGGGGGGGAGATAAATCACAGAACTTATATGCATGTACGCATGAACAATGGTCATGGACAGCAAAGCTGTGGATAGGGTGGGGAGGGGGGGAGGGGGGAATCAGTGGGGGGAAAAGGAGAAACATCTGTAACAAAAATAAATTAATTAAAAAAAAAAAAAAAGAACTTATGCTAAGTGAAATAAGCCAATTACAGAGAGACACATATTATATAATTCTACTTATATGAGGTATTTAAAATAGTCAAATTCATGGAAACAAACAGTTGCCAGGATTGGGGGAGGGAGAAATGGGGAGTTACTAATCAACGCCCATAAAGTTTCTGTGAAGATGAATAAGCTCTATAGGCCTGCTGCACAATGTACAGATAGTCAACAGTTACTTATTGTATACTTAAAATTTTTTTAAAGGTAGATCTCATATTAAGTATGCTTTCCACAATAAAATAAAATTTATAACACCACTACCCTGGACTTATACTCTCCAAAGACATGTCTAACTTTGAAAACACTGGAGAATTAAAAAATCTCAACAGCAGCTTGAACATACCGTCTTTATCAGCCGTGTCTGGAGGCTTAGACTTCAAAGTGAAGATCTTCCGCAGCTTGCAGTTAGCTGAGACAATAATTCCGTCCAGTGACTGGAAAACTGCTCCCTTGAATATTTCACTGGTAAATGCCACCAAGTCAATGCATAGGTTGCACCACTAAAATAAAGGAAAAAAAATAAGTACTTTCTATAATCACATAAATGAACAAGCCATCTGTATGTGGAAAGTCCAGAGAGTTGAGGCAGTTATCTGGATCAAGCAGTCCCATAACAATTTTCCTCTTTAGGCAAATATATCTCTGTTTTGGCTCCAATTTTCTTAAGAACTGCCTTGGTTCTTCCAAAGAAATGATCATAATCTAAAGTATATACTGGTCATCTGACTACAGAGTTCCCATCATGAGACAAGGCTTTGACAACTTTGGGGAAGAACTCTAGATCTGTAGGCAGTATGCTAGTGGGAAGCTAAATGCAGGTGCATTAGACCACTTAAATCTTGAAAATCAGAGAGTAGTAGCTAATTGCTCCTTCAAGGTGACTTAATTTGATCCCAACTTGTCACTTAAAAAAAAAGCACGAATGAAATTAGAAGCTGGGTTTAAATTGTGGCCAGTGATGTCTACTTATAACCAATTAACCTATTGTGTAGAAACAGATTCTTCTAAGGAATTTGTAATTATGCCTGGTATTTGCTAGTTCTTAAAGTACTCTTGCAGGAACTAATTTCTGCCTATTAAACAATTAGACTCCTCAATACTTCATCAAATGAATTCTTTGAATGGTCTGACAGAGTTAAAGAAAAAGAGAAAATAATCATTTAGTAAGAAATTAAGAAATATTTAAGACTGCAGAAATAAGCAAGAAAAATAATTTTTAAAATTAAAAGAAAAGTAGTATTTAAAATTGTGCTTCTTTTAAAATATCAACCTCTTTCATTATTTGTTTAGAAATACAGTTTACATAGGTCCATTTTATTAATCCATAAAATCAAAAGCTGTATTCATTGATAACGAAAATAAAATTTAATTTTTTAAGGCAAATTCTATTTAGCAATAATTTTAATATGGAGGAAAAGATGAGGGTGCTTCCACAGTAGAAAAGTAAAAGAGATTGCAGTAAATTATTGATTAAATACGTGCAAATTATTTTCTTTGTAGATATCTCAAAAGAAAAATTCCCAGGCTGTGGGGATGCTCTGGTCTTTTGGGGAAAAGAAACCTGGAGTAATAAAAAGTAGGAAGTAGGACTGAATGTGATATAATAATGAGACTGGTTGACCAGCAGGATGGTGAGCTCTGGGGAGGTGTAGGAAGCAATATGAGATGGGCCAGAGAGGCTAGGTTTTGGAGGAGCTGGAACATGCGGAAGAAAACCTTGGGTTCCAGAGGGTCAAGTGTCACTGTGGTCCTTGAAAGAGAAAGTGACAAAAACAGAGTATTGGGAAGTCTGGACTAAACCTGATGCAGAAATGTTTTGGGGTGGTAGAGGGGATCTGTGGGGGAAAGCTGAGTTAGAGTGAAGACAAACTGAGGCACAGAAAGACTAGTTTCTGTCAGTCATACAAGCATAAAGGAAGGCTAGCATAGGAAGTGGAATGTAAGGGACACGTCCAGTAGGCATGTCTTAGGGTGAAACACCATACCTTGGAAAAATCCAGATTATAAGGATGAAGGCCTTAGGGTTTCCAGCTATCCAATAATAATTATTAACATTTTTATTACATTAGCAATATTATTGTTATAAATGTGGTTCTTATTCCTGAAAGACTTAACATTATGCCCTAATTTCAATCATTCATCTGGTTTGTCCCATCAGTAATTGCATTCATCCATCTTTTCCTACAGGTGCTAAGCACTTATCAGGTGTTAAGACACTGGGCATGGCTCCATGGATACAGAAATGAATAAGACAGTGCTTCCAGTCTGGAAAGGGAGGCAGACATCTGGATTCTATTACATAGTTAGTACAGATGGGGCTCCAGGTAGGAGGGTAGAGAGGTTCAGAAAAAACTTCCTTTAAAGAACATTTAAAAACCATATCATTATATTATTATATGCACATACAGGGTGGGGCAAAAGTAGTATACACTTTACAATTTGATTATTCATTCTGTTTTTAGACATTTGGGTTATTTAAGATTTTGGCTTTTATGAATAAAGCTATTGTGAAATTCCCACACTAGTCTTTCTGTGTATGCATACTTTCATTTCCTTGGATATAAACCAAGAAGAATTGTTGAATCAACAGGTAATGTTTAACTTTAGAAATTCCAGAGGAATTTCCAAAGTAGTTTTGCCATATTCTGTTTCCACTGGAAATATGATAATTGCTTTACATTTCACCAATATTTAGAATTTCCTGTCTCTTTTATTTTAGCCATTCTAGTGGGTGAAGCAGTGGTAACTACTTGTAATTTGAATTTCCTTAACTGGTGGTGTAGTGCTCTTTTTCATAAGCTTATTTGACCAGTGCTTTGTTCAATTTTTTTTGCCTTTTAAAAAAAGTATGTCTTTTTATTATACAATTGTGGGATATATTCTGGATACAAGTCTTTTGTCAGATAACTGTACTAGAAATATTTTCTCTCACTCTCTGTGGCTTGCTTATTTATTTTCCTAAAAATGTCTTTTTGATGAGCAGTTTTAATTTTTTTGAAGCCCATTTAGTCAATTTTTAAATTAAGGTTAATGCTTTCTGAGTCCCAGGAAATCTCTTAAAGTACTGTAGCTTTATATTTTTAGTATTCATTTATACCTATGATTCATCTTAAATTAATTTTTATGAATGGTGTAAAGTAGGGGTTGAGGTTCAGTTTTTTGGGTGTTTTTTGTATATGAAAGTTCAGATGTTCTAGTTTTCAGAATAGAGAGCCCAGAAATAATCCCACACCTATATGGTTAATTAATATATGACAAAGGGGTTACGAATATACAATGGGGTAAAAATAGTCTAGTCAATAAATGATGTTGTGACTATTGCACAGGTACATGCAAAAAAATGAAACTAGACCACCTAATTACACCATATACAGTTGTAAACTCAAAATGGGTTAAAGACTTAAATGTTAGACTCCAAACAATAAAAATCCTAGAAGAAAACAGGCAGTAAACTCTCTTGAAATTTCTCTTGGCAGTATTATTTTCTGATATATCTCCTTGGGCAAGGGAAACAAAAGGAAATATTAACAAATAGAACTACATTAAACTAAAAAGTTTTTGCATAGCAAAGAAAACTTTAGACTAAACGAAAGACAGCCTACAAAATGGGAGAAGATACTTGTCAATGATACATCTGATAAGGGGTTAATATCCAAAATTTATAAATAACTTGTACAACTCAACACACATAGAGAAAACAAACAATCCAATTAAAAACTAGGCAGAGTTCAGCAGAGCCTGGGCTGGGACCTGTGCACCCCAGCAGAGCCCCAGAGGGTGACCCATGCTCCCCAGCAGAGCCCCGGTGGGGACCCGCATGCCCTAGAAGTGTCCCAGCGGGACCCGTGCCCAAGAGCAGCGCCTACCACAACAGACCAATACCAACCACCAGTTGTCAATCCTCCAGGAAAGCAGTGCTCAACCTGTGGGTTGTGACTCCTTTGGGGGTCAAACGACCCTTTCACAGGGGTCGCCTAAGACCATTGGAAAACACATATTTCTGATGGCGATTCATAACAGTAGCAAAATTACAGTTACGAAGTAGCAACAAAAATAATTTTATGGCTAGGGGTCACCACAAAATGAGGAACTGTATTAAAGGGTCACGGCACTAGGAAGGTTGAGAATCACTGCTCCAGGACCCACAGTAGGCAAGAGGCGCCACACACCAAAACAGTCTAGGCGGCACAGCAGCATTATTTGATACACACCAACTTGCCTACACATCCCAACATCCCTCACACGGCCTAGAACTACCAGACTGCTAAAATGGGAAAACAAAGAAACAATACCAAAATGAAAGAAAAGGAGGACACCCTGGCTGGTTTGGCACAGTGGCTGGAGCGTCGGCCTGTGGACCAGAGAGTCCTGGGTTCAGTTCTCACTAGAGGCACATATCAAAAAAAAAAAAAAGAAAGAAAGAAAGAAAGAAAGAAAGAAAGAAAGAAAGAAAGAAAGAAAGAAAGAAAAGGAGGAATCACCAGAAAAGGAACTACATGAAATGGAAGAAAGCAATTTGTCAGATAAAGAATTCAAAGCAATGATTTTAAGGATGCTCAAATAATTTAGTGAGAACTACAAGAAACTTAATGAGAATTATAAAGAGCTCAGTGGGAACTAAATCAACTTAAAAAAAGAGGTAAAAGCTATGAACAAAAATCAAGAGGCAATAAAGAATGACATAACTAATATGAAAAATACCTTAGAAGGATTCAATAGTAGATTAGAAGAAGCTGAAGACTGAATCAGCGAGTTAGAAGACAAGGCAGAAAAAAAAATGCCCAAATTGAGCAGCAAATGGGGAAAAAATTAAAAAGCAGGAGGGTTTAATGGAGCTTTGGGGCAATACAAAACGTAACAACATTCGCATCATAGGGGTATCAGAAGGAGAAGAATCAGAGAAAGGCATAGAGAACCTGTTTGAAGAAATAACAACAGAAAATTTCCCCCAATTTGGTGACGGAAAAAGTCACACAAGTCCAGGAAACACAGAGAGTCCCAAGCAAGATAAACCCCCAAACACCCACAGCTAGACACATCATAATTAAAATGGCAAACATTAAAGACAAAGAAAAATCTTAAAGGAGGCAAGAGAGAGACAGAAAGTTACCTACAAGGAAGCTCCCAATAGACTGTCAGCTGATTTCTCAATAGAAACACTGCAGGCCAGAAGGAACTGGCATAAAGTATACAAAGTAATGAAAGGCAAGGGTCTGAATCCAAGACTACTCTATCCAGCAAGGCTATTGTTCAATATTGAAGGTGAAAAAAAGAGCTTCACAGACAAAAAAACAAAAAAGCTAAAAAAATTTACCACCACCAAACCAGCACTGCAAGAAATGCTAAAAAGACTGCTGTAAGAAGGAGAAGAACTATATAGAAAGAGAGGAACACAGGAATAAAATAAAAATGGCAACTAATAAATAACTCTCAATAATAACTTCAAATATAAGCGGATTAATATCTCCAATCAAAAGCTGACTGAATATATATATATGTT